CCGGACAAAGTAAAAATTAGATAGAAAAGCCAAAATACTGTTTGGTCGCATTTACCTTTAACTTTTCACGATGTTGATTTTACTTCATTTTCTCAATTCAGTCGGAGCGACAGAGAGCCCTCGTGGAACCGACTCAGTCCTACTCCCTCAGCTACATACAACACGGGCTATGCCATATCTCCATCACCTTCATGACAAACCGATTAACATTAAGATTGATGTGAAGCCTTTCATTTCGTATGAAATGTGCATCAAGCAGAGATTCCTACGCCAATGTCACCAGAATACGTCGGCTGATTCGCGCTGTACCACAGCCGTTTAGCATGAATACGACGTTCAGGTTGATGCAGTCCACGAGGCATCCAACAATGAGCAGATCTATCATACAGAAAAGAGCCGGCCAGCCTTGTTGACGTAGTGTTAACCTGACGCTTTTGCAGGCATGATTCCCAGCTCTGACGGCGTCCGTCCTGTGGCATGACGAACGAAAACTCAGCCCGTTTTCGCCCGAAACGTCGTATTTGTGCCCAACGGCCGCAGTACAACGCGAATCAGCCGACGTCTTCTGATCAACTTGACCGACGAACATCTTCTTCGTCTACTTCCATACCAAATGAAAGACTTTACATCAAAGATGTGGCTTACGTTGAGTGTCACATCCTCTCTGTCACCAGCTGGTCGCTGTGACTGTGTTTTGTCGAGTGTAGTGTGAAATCGCTACCAAACTGCCGACCAGGCTTACAATTCCGCTGGGGATGCCGAGTAGACCCAGGCGAGATCGAGACCACAGTCAAGTCCAGACTGGATGAGATATCCTTTGGAGAGGAAATACTGAGTGAAATTAAGTGGCATCGTAAGGCCTATTCATCTGATGGTTTGGGAGAAATCAACTATCAGTCCTTAAATCAACATTAGAGAACTAGACTGAATGATAAGCTCGGCCCATTGCCCTAAATAAGGCATGAAATAGACAAAAGATCTGTCTTGGTATAGTCTTTCGTTTATATGACTTTAAATCAGTCATATGAGATGTATTCGTCCTATTTCGTTCAAGATGATGAAGGACAGGTAATTGAATTTTCCCACAATCATATGAGTAGAGCTGACGTTTCCATTCAATTTTACACAGGTTTGCTTTACCAAAAATGTGCTTTCATCCAGGCAGGAGTGGACTGCACTTTCGACCTAGCCTTGGTCTTATCTACACCCCCAGCTGGACTCTAACCATGAGACTGTAGCGTACAATCTCGACACTTTAACCACTCCGCCACATTGCCACAAATGCCCTTGGCCCATACGGCAGACGTGAATTTCAAGGAAGGCTAGGCATTTTTCCATATCACATTCTGTGGTGGGATTGTCAATTAAGCAAATATATACTTGCTAAGGCAATCGACGATATTACTTATTTTTCACTCATAAGTAGGGTCTCGAGATTACTATTAAATCGGCTATATGAGATGTCCTAAATCACATTATACGAAATAGGGTGAATACAGTTTACATAATTTGGTATAATTTATTTTTCGAATAAGGTATTGTTTTCGTGACTACCAGTAAATCAGTAATATGAGATGTATTCACACAATTTCGCTTTAGGTAATGTAGGATTGGTAGAAGAAGAATTTTCTCACAATCATATGAGTTAAGCTGACGTTTCCATTCAATTTCACATAGCCTTGCTTTTGCAAAAGTTGTTCTCATCCAGGTGGGATTGTCGATGAAGCCTACGTATATCTGCTATAAAAATTGACTAGTATACTTTATTTTCCGAATTAAGTATTGTTTTCGTGACTATCAGTAAATAAGTAGTATGAGATGTATTCACCAAATTTCGTTTAAGCTGATGAAGGACTGGTAGAAGAAGAATTTTCCCATAATGATATGATTTTCCATTAAATTTCTCATAGCCTTGCTTTCCCAAGGCTGAATGAGAACAACTTTTGGGAAAGCAAGTCTACGTGAAATTCAATGGAAACTCATATGATTGTGGGAAAATTCTTCTTCTACCAGTCCTTCATCACCTTAACCGAAATAGAGTGAATACATTTAGAATAATCTGTTGGAACACGATGGTCTATATATCTATACAATAGGAAGAAAGACTGGTAATTGAAGAATCCCAAAATAATTA